GCTCCACAGTGCTCAAACGGCTTCAAATCAGGTCCTGAGCCTCCCAAAATTTAAACTTATTTGGTAAGAAACTGACTTGGCACAAATCATTCGAAGTTTATATGGAAATTACTATGGGAAAACCAAAGTTTTTGTTCATTGTCTTCTACCCATTTTCCATATTGCTTTTTCGAAAATTTCTATAATTATTCTAACGGGAAATTTTCTAAGCTACCACTTTGGCCAATATCGTTTTTCAGCTAAATGTCAAACTTAATAGTTATTAATTGTTTAAGAGATTGATAATCTTATGGCATGATCAAGCAGTTCACGCTATGTCTAAAGGCACTTTTTTTGCAACATTCATGTACCTCAGTTTTTTCTTCACAGGATGTTAGTATTGATCCTAACAATCAACTCTGTGATGGTTTGAAAATATTTCATCTAGGGTTTTTGAGAAATGGTGCTTTGAAGTTTACAACGCCGATAACGAAGGCGTATATTGGACTTTTGACGATACAAAACTGTTGCGAATTGAACAAATGCAGTTAAATCAGGTTCAAAAGTTGTTGAATTAATCAAAATGGCATTAAAGAGTTCTCTTTGACTCTCAAGCAAGATGCGTTTTGATTATGTCAACTTTGCGCAAAATTAAATAATATTTGTTGCTAGAACAACTTCTTGTTTAATGTCTCTTCACTCATAAGAGTAAAAGAGAAATAAACAAGCAGGACAGTCCAAGACAGCCACGTAATCATAGTAGGCATTGATTTTCTGCCTGTTTCGAGTGTTTTTTGAATCTCTCGAAGAAAATAGAGAGTTCGCTTGCTGTGCTTCAAAAAGCGATTATCAAAAGAAAAAAAAATATCACGCCACTTTAGTAGCGACGTTCGCTGAAAGATTTTTATCAGAGTTCAATAAAAAAGTTAGTAGGTATCTGAAATGTTTGTGTCTCGTACTCAGCTGGTGACGAAGGTGGCATTTACAACCCTAAGGAATAGAAAATTAGTTTGGATTTTTGTAACCCATGCCGAAGTTGTTTGAAAATCATTTAACAGATAATGCCGATAATACAGGAATGAAACTCACATGATATTAGCTGCTCTTGCCCAGTGAGTTTAGGTAGCCTTCACCTTTAACTACGACAGAATTGCTAGAGTTTCATTGCAGTTCCCATATTTTGTCTAAGAAAACTTTCAGGAAGGCTCAGCAACTTTCTAGGAAATTCTGCGAACTATAGGGAATTATAGTGAATTTTAGAAAAGTTAAAGACGTTCCTCAAAAGAATCAGAGAAGTTTAACAACCTTCAGAGAAGCTCATTGATCTCAGTTCAAGAAAATTCTTCAAACTTCAAAGATGTGCTTCGATCTTCAGAGAAGCTCTATAAACCTCAGGAAAATTCTGCCAACTTCAGGGACGTTTTGTGAGCTTCAGGGGAGTTCAATGTCCTTCTGATAAGTTTTACGACTCACAATAGATGGTCTGAGAACTTAAAAAAATCTAAGAACATCAGAAAAAATTGAAGAATTTCATCGAAGTTCAACGAAATCAAGGAAAAACCAAATGGAGGGATATGAATTTGAATGAATTTAACTTCAATAAGCTGTCTCATCGGGTCGTTGGTGGAACAACTCCCACTCCATGTCTTAGAAGCAGGTATGATAGAGAGAATTTGTTGCGATATCTCTTTCTCTTTCACACTTTCTTAATGAAATGTGATCAACGGCATGAGCAGGGTGACAGCAGGGGTGATATGTGCTGTCAAATCGGCCTACTGAAAGTCCATCGAAGAGATGTAAATATGGTAAAAAATCTCTCACGAAGATTTACTTAGCTTTAAGAAAGATCTTAATCCGAGTGTTAATAAGGTCAGTATGTACATAGATTTACACTATATTTGTATTATGTTACATACGCTGAAAATTACCTCAACGTATGAGACTATCCAGCCCGGTCTCAAATCAGCTATGACGAAAGACAACGCGGCCAATAATGATCTCAATAACGCTTCAAATTCTGTGGCTGCTGCAAATGCGACTCATCATGCGCAATTTGGATTCGCTGGTCGCCATTTTAGGTGCTTGATAAACGTGTAGTTTTGAAAGGATGCCTTCCGGTAGCCCCAAAATTCAATATTGTAAAATATCACATTATAGATTTTTGCAAGAGTACAGGAAAAGTCTTAGCCTGGTTCACGAAAAAAAAAAACAAACTAAGCTGTTCATAATGATTTTTCCCAAACATGGAGTATCTATAAAGCAGTGGAAAATAATTCCAGATACGACAAAAACTTGATGAAAGCGGTGGTATTTAATCATTCTCTTTAGATATTTATGTAAGCATTGATAAAAATGGATGAAACATATGGAACTAATAATTATAGTAAATTTAGTTTATTCTCTCCATTGTAAATTATTTCATCATTTTAAACATTATGAGTTCACGACAAAGTTACGACATCTTACGGTACCGAAGAGGAAATCTTACTATACCATTGAAACGAAGTATTTTGACTACCTTAATCTCCAAAAATCATATGCAGCTGTATTTGTTTCGATCCGTAACAGTTTTGTATTGTCAATGGTCCATACACGCCTTCATAAACGACTAAGTATACTTCAAAATACTTTTTCTCAAAAAACCCAAGATGAAATATTTTAAAACCATCACTGATTTGATTGTTAAGATCCATTCTAACTTCCTGCGATGAAAAAACTGAGGTACATTAATGTTGCAAAAAAGTGCCTTCAGACATAGCGTGCAGCTGTTCTGTTAGCAACACTGTATTCTGCAGTGTGACATAGTAGCCATGATATTTGTGCTCTATTCTTCTCACCAGGAACACCAATGTTGCCTGCTGAACAGTTGAATGAGCATAATCATAAGACATCAGTGACTTGAATCATTAATAACTTTTGTTCCGTGCATTTGATTGAAAAGTGGTTTTCAACAAAATTGGAGCAGAGAAAATTTGCTACAATCACTGTTATCATTTTTAAAAGCACAGTGATGTGGTGAATTGTTCGATAAAGATAAACAAAAACATAAGTTTTCCCATAGTAATTCCCATATAAACTTGAAATGGTCAGTTTCTTACTAAAGTAGTTCAAATTTTGGGAGGCTAAGCAGGACCCAATTTGGAACCGTTTGAGCTCTGTGGAGCGAAAATTTCAAATTTTGCATCAGTCTAATGACCTACCATTCCTGTTGATTGGCCAATTGCGTCAGGAATTGAGCTGCTCTTGAAAAATAACATCTTGAAGTCCGGTTTTGGTGGCGAGTCCAAGTTCATCTATGGTACTTGTTGACCGAATCAGCACCAAATTACAATATCGAACAACGCCATTTCCTTTAAACATAATCACAGGTCATCACTGGAACTTCGAATCGCGAAGAATGTGCTCCAATTACAAGACAAACTATCACGCATAATATGAATTTTCAATTTTTCCAAATTTTCAAACACGACAGAGAAAACAAACGTCACGTTCGTACGAAAACACAGCCTACTTCACGTAGGTCAACAAAAATTTCACGTTTGAGTTGTAATTCGAATTTTGATGCGTTAACCAATTTGTTTTGCAAGCCTGATTTATGTTGATCAAAATAAAAGCTTTAACATCGTAATAAAAAAAAAAAGAAAAACAAACCAGAACGAACATGACAATATCGATCCATCATCACCATCAATTAGCCACCTGCAATCGAATCCTTCATTGATTATATTTTCTTTACAACACCTTTTATGATTCCATTTAAATTGAAAACACAGATTTACGGCTTCACCAAAAATCAATCTCAAAACATTCCCACCGTGGTACAAATCCATCCTGTCGCCTCCGCTGTTGGTCGTAGCAAATCTGTTTGTTTTGGCGCATTGATGTATTAAAATATACACAACCAATGGGCGTGCGTGCCAGGTGTATGAACCAGTTGCTGTGGGTGGGACTAACCCACCCAGTCCAGTAGGCAGCTATGGACATATTATAGTCCCAGTGGAGAGTGACCTGCGTTCGCGACACCAAACACGGATATTCGCCTCCGGGGGCTTGTTTGGGAGCGAATTGCATAAATATTTCCTTTTCACCCGGGTGGTGCTTCGGCGGTACACAGTGATGATACCATAACATTTGAATGCATACTATTCGGTACATTTTTTTTAACTAATTCTGAGCACTGCACTTGACGTGATGCTAGAACAGCAACAACCGTCGACATTGAATATGGAAAAGCACACGCAGCTTAGCCGACGTGCTATATGATATGCACCGAAACTAACACCACCGTCCGGCCAAAACCGGTTTATGGTGGAAAAAGTGCATGTGATGTGAGAAACATCGAGAAAGGAGAGCGTGAAGCGCAAAAAATGGCAATTGCGGGCGGGGGTTTAGTGTGCAGATTAATCCGCTTTACCGGGCTTGGAAAAACTAATCGCAATTGTGTAATTAGAATTTCGGGGGTGCACAAAGGGAAGCCGAGGGGGGATGTTGTGAGGAAACGGACACAGAGAGCAAAACGACGAGATGCACATCATCTCATCACGGTCGGAATGGGTTTTTGAATTAGAAGCATCACTTCCGGATGGAAAAATATGGTTCAACGATGCGATTGTTGAATTAAAATTCGAAATTGAAAAGGATCAAGTGGGTAACTGGGGCACTTTTTTGTGGGTGTGTCATTTGGATTTTGAAGTTTCTGTTTTAGCGCTTTTCTCTAGCTTTTTGTAGTACAGTCAACTATCCACAATTGTCGAATAATTTTGAAAATGTGTATGGGAAGATTGGTCGAAGGGAACTGGATTTGCGTCGGATAAGGGAGAATTCACTGTATACCGTAAGCATCCTTTGTTTTTTTTTTAAATGCTTTATTTGTGATATTTTGAGAGAATGATCCTTGTTTGCCCCAATCTGCGTACGAACCTGACAGCAGCATCAAATAAATTTCAATTTCACAATACATTCCACCCGGGGTAAGTAAACTGTCTAATCGAATTATTTTTCTCCTGTTGTCCTGTTTTCAGGTAGGTGCAAAGTATCCACATCCCATCTATTTAGGGAACAGCGAGGGTAAGAACGACCAGGGCAAGTAGAAAACAAACATGACAGCCGGAGAAACCAAGGATTACGTTCCATACTCGGTTGCTCTTCAAACAAATCCGAACACACTCTCGGGAGGACCATCGTCGTATTTGTACGATATCTACGATCAAGTGACAGAAGAGTTCTAAACCAAAAATTTAAGGTGTGATCCGACGCGATGGATGGTGGGAGAACAGAGCATAGAGGTTAGTTAGCATATACCAACGGTGTGTAGTAGCATCCTTCTGGTTCTGATATTTGTTTAGGACACATTCGGAGATGGAGATTCGAACCATGTCGGAACAGAACTTACAATTCTCCTCCTCTTCATGTATGACAAAAAAAAATGTATCTCATTCATATCCACCGCCCGGTAACTGCAAGTGATTGCCGTATAGCAAGCAGGACACGCGCGGGTGGATGAGAAGTAACGTACGTCATGTCAGCTTTACGGTCGCTTCATTTTCCCTTTTGCCGAAATCCGTCAAATTTGCGACACACTCGTTATTAAAAATTATAACCAAACAGATGGTGTTTCCATTCTTGTTTTCTGCATGCATACAAACATAAGTGAAGAGGACGATGCAGAGGGAGAAGGGGAGGAGTGATTTTCTTCCATGTGCCATTTGCGGAAGCAGAAGCGTCATCCTCCCGTATCAGTGAATGTGTACATGCGGTGTGGCATCACCATCATCGTCCGGGAGGGAAATATGGAGTAGTATGTACAAGTTGATTCACTGATGCGAAATGGGTCGTGAAAATGAATAATTTCCCTTCCGACACTCGCCTTCACGCCAACCAACCGCCACACGCTTCCATGCACGAGCCGGTACTCGCCAACCGGAATTGTGTGAGCTTTTTACCAAAGTACGAGCCAGTGCAAGTGTCGGAGGGATGCTCGAGTAGAAGCGACGATTGAGATAATTATTGCATGAGATTAAGATTTTATATCAGACGGACCATTTTTGAAAATACGTTTAAGTAGTAGAGGAAGGTTATTCCAAAATCTAAGACGAACGGTTTTCTTCCTAACAAAATAGTTATTTTGAGATAAAGTCTCACAGCATTTCGTTTCTATGGTTTTCTGACAAGCATTCCATTCAAGGGGAGGCGGTGGTGTAGTGGTAAGCGTGATTACCTCTCACCCCAGCAGGCCTGGGTTCAATCCCAGTCGGCGCCGCCGGGATGTTCTGAGGCATAACAGCTCTGATCACGGGAAGTAAGCTCGCTTTTACCCTATTGTTTTAAAAATAGGGGAAATGCAGGTAATGTCGGCCTAAGTGTCCCTAATTTGGGCCCATACTTAAATTCAGCAAACGACTAAATTTTCAATAGCAACCAAAAATATCCATTATTTATTTATTTATTTATTTATTTACTTGTATACTTGTAGAGTAAGAGTTTTCTCTTATAAATTTCTACAATCGGTTTCTTCGTTGTTCACACCACAAATGCAATTCAATCCACTTTACCAAAAAGGTTCAAAACATAACTTAATATAATACAAAACTACTTTTAAACATATGCTATTCCAAACCTCAACCCTTTGCTCATTCCATTCCATTCAATTCCCTCCACTGAACCAGTTGAAACTCTCACGGTAGAATCCTGCAGCTGATTGTATAGATTGAATGTAAGTAGGAAGCTGATTCCATAGTATAATTGCACGAACAAAAAAGGTACTACCGTAATGAGAGGAGTTATGCTGCGGTACTACGAAGTGTCTTACTCGAGCGCACAGCTTCTCAGTTTAAAGAATTCATAAAATGGGCAGCCCAAAAGCTGCCGTTGTAAGTGTGTTACTCTAGCGTATCTTGACAAATTGAAAACCCAACGTACGCAGTGATTTAAGGCAACTCTTAAACGATCCAAAGCATTAGCAGAAGCATTTAAAATCAGGTCAAGTCCATACGAAAAATGTGGTTTCAAAAGAGAGCTGAAAAGCTTCATTTTGGTTGATACCGATAACATAGCAGCCGTTAGCCTTAAATGTCGTAATCCAGCATAAATCTTTCCACATTGGGAATTTACTTGAGAATCCCATTCTAAATCATTTTGTAATATTATACCGAGATTAGAAGCCTTGTTAACAAAGTCAATAATATCATTATTTATAAAAAGATTTGGTAACTCAATGCGTGTCTGCCATCTGGAAATAAACATCACTTTTGTTTTAGATGAATTTATCGGAAGCAGATTTCTTGAAGACCATAGCGAGACACACTTCAAATCATTATTGATTAGACGAGCCATTTCTTCTACAGATGCATCAATTGAACAGAGGTATAATTGAACATCATCCGCAAACATGTGGATCAAACAGACTTGCAATACTGACGGAAGGTCATTGATGAATAATGAAAATAAAAGAGGACCCAATACTGACCCTTGGGGTACACCTGATAATATATTAATGGGAGCCGAAAGATTACCTTCAATATCCACCACTTGAGTGCGAGCACTTAAATACGAATTGATCAAAGAAACAGCTTCACGACAGAATCCGAACTGGTGTGATAATTTATTCAGTTCATTCCTCGTTCTGCTAGCGAATGAGCAACATCAGGGTCTGTTGTCTCGTCACAAGTCATAGCTTTGAAAGTGTTTTTTTTCACCGCGAAACATTATTTTCCGGAAAAAGTTTTTGTGCCTCAGGTGACTCGCGCATTTCTGGAGGAAGCAGCCGATCTTGGCGAAGCCTACGGTCGGACTGTCCACCTTTAAAACCCGCTTCGACGATATCGAAATTCGGCATACGGCAAAACACACGGACGGTGTGTACAACTGGAAACAATAACCAGCAGAAAACAGTGAGCCACCGCACGGACGGTGTGTACGACCGGCATCTATTGTGGCAGAGCAGCAACAATATAAGCAGTAGAAACGGTAAGGGCAAATAGTAGCACGTATCTGTTTTTTTGTATACCCATTCCTCTGACTGTTTGCTTGTGAATCGTCTGTCTCTCCCCCAGTAAACGATTCCACATAGGGTGGTTCGTAAATCAAAAAAAGTAAAAATAAAATTAATTACTTGCTAAAGAAATTTCGTATGGATGATGCACAGGGGGGCGTCAAGCCTCCCAATGATAAAGTTAGAAAGCGTCATTACCAGGCGTTTTCTGCTTCGCCTTGGGTTGTCTACTTTCGGCAGAAAGAGAAAGCCCTAAATTTCTTAGGGATTAAAAGAACGTTGACGCGTCGTTTTCCGGGGACCGAATTTCATCAGGTCAATCGGAACAAACTGCGTATAACTGCACTCACATATAAAGTCGCAAATGACATTGCTGACGGCGAGGGTTATAATGAAGAGTATTACGTCTACATCCCATCTCGAGATGTGGAGATAGACGGCGTGGTCTCTGCAGTGAGCCTGACGTGTGATGACGTCATGGAAGGTATGGGGCGCCTTCAAAATGCTGCAACATCTACCGTGGACGTTCTGGGTTGCAGGATATTGTATTCAGCGACCACGGTAGATGGTAAAAAGACTTATTCCCCTTCAGGCTCACTACAGGTGTCTTTCGCTGGATCGGTTCTCCCAAAGTTTTTAGAAATTGAAAATGTTTTTTTCCCGGTGCGACTTTTTGTACCAAGGGTATACAATTGTACCAACTGCAAAAAGTTGGGACACACAGCTGCTTTTTGTGAAAACAAGCCCCGTTGTGGCAAATGTAGCCAAGACCACATGGAGGGTGCTTGCCAACAGGAAGCAACTAAATGTGCTTACTGTGGCAAAGAACCTCTTCATGCTTTGCAGGACTGCCCCGCGTACAAGAAGCGTACCAATAATGTGAAGCGTTCAATAAAAGAACGCTCCAAGCTGACGTTTGCAGAAATGGTTAAGTTGCAAAATGGAACCTCTGCTTCGTTGGCATCAGCCGCTCAAAATGAAAACACTTTTGAGATTTTGTCTTCCGATGAACTGGACTCTGACATAGCAGATGAGAGTGAGTCTCCGGAGGTACACGCCCCCAATAAAGGGAAGCCGACTAGCTCCCCGGGAGTGCGCAGAAAAAAAAATAAAACCACTCTCAAAAGCATGCAAAAATCTGAAGGTAGCGGGGATTCATTGAAAAAGCCGAACAAATCGGTAATTGCAGCTCCATCTGATCCTTGCTGCAGCTTTTCCACCCCGCCGCTACCTAATAAAGGTAATCGTAAGAGATTACCAAAAATAAACACCACGTCTACTCGCAATTCAAAGAAAACTCTCCCGTCCAAGCGAGGAAAGATTAAATTTAAGGACATTGTGGATAACATTTTGAATGCCCTCGGCTTTCTCGACGAATCGCCACTTCGAGGGCTTATTGACCTGCTTGTTCCTATAGTCGGAAACTACTTCAAGCAATTGACTGCATCATGGCCCCTCATTGGTGAATTCATATCTTTCGATGGATAATTCGTCGAGTGAGGATCAAGATATGATCACTTTATTACAATGGAACTGTCGTAGTTTAATACCTAAATTAGACTCGTTCAAGTATTTGATTCACAATTCTGATTGTGATATATTTGCACTCTGTGAAACTTGGCTTTCTTCTGAAGATGAACTAAACTTCCACGATTTTAACATTATCCGCCTGGACCGAGATGATTCATATGGTGGCGTACTTTTGGGGATCAAAAAGTGCCACTCCTTCTATAAAATCTCAATCCCAATAATTTCAGGCATTGAAATTGTCGCTTGCCAAGTAAATGTGAAGAACAAAGATCTTTGCATAGCTTCTGTATATGTCCCTCCAAGGACTTCCATAAACCGCCGTCAGCTTTGGAGTTCAGTTAATATCCTTCCATCTCCAGTTCTAATACTGGGCGATATGAACTCACACGGTACTGGTTGGGGCGAATCATACGATGACAATAGAGCGGGTATTTTCTATGATTTGTGCGACGATTTCAACTTGACTATCTTGAACACTGGTGAAGCAACACGTATAGCAAACCCTCCTGCTCGAGAGAGCCGTCTTGACATTTCTTTGTGCTCTAACTCAC